AGGACAGCCAGAGCTATACAGAGAAATCCTGTCTCAAAAACAAACAAACAAACAAACAAACAAACAAACAAACAAAAAACATCAACAACAGAGCTAAGTCTTTCCAATATTGTCAAGATGCCAGCTGCTTCTATACCAATATATGGGTTTGGTGTCATCCCTGTTAAAACTAGCTATTTTTAACCTTTGCCAGCAGATAACAAGATTTATTAAAATGATGCAATATAGAGTTAATGAGTACTGAGTCAGTAAGTAGACAGACCCGAAATGGAGCACACCAGGGCTAAGTAGTCTATAGAAACATGTCCACACACATACAAACTCTGATTTCTTTTTCAAGGTGAATTATAGGGGAGTTATGAAGGGCCATCTCAAAACAGGATTCCCAGGAGAAGCCCATGATATCATTAAAAACTGTGACTGTATCCCTCTCTCAGAGTCTAAGCCCTGGTTCCTTTAGTGTTTCCCCTTCCTTTCCTCTGAGACAAAAATGTACAATTTGGCAGTATACTCCCAGTATCCTTTACTCCAGTACAGAGGAATCTAAAAGTGAACGTAGAACCTGGCTGTTGGCCAGGGCTGCCTCCTTGCCCCCAACTAATTGGCAATGATGAAAATAGCTTTCCTTCACCAAGGTTATCTTAATAAGCAAAAACACTTAGCCCAAACCCAACCTGCAAAGCCAAAAAGATGATTTTAACATTGTTTAATCATGATTTTCTAGGGGAAAAGAAGAGAGAGAAAGTATTGGGAAACCAGAGTGCAAATACTTCAAGAGCCTAGCAGTTTTAAATAACTACAGATACCTGGTACATTTCAAAGAGTAGTATTAACCTTTGTGTGATGTCAACAACAGAGAGAGAACCTCTCATGTACTTTACCTTTTCCTCCCTCCTTCACTCTTTTCTTGCTAGGCTAGGCTAGCCTAGAATTCACTAGGCAGTCCAGGCTGGCCTCATATATATAGTGAGCTACCACACCGAGCACATCTCCTGTTTCCAGTATCCACTGCTTTACAAAGCTTCTAAGCAAATTATTTTGATCCACAAACATTCATCTTTCTTTGTTTTGGAAGAATTTCAGGTTTTGTAAAAATGCAACAATAGTATGCTATTGTAGTGTATTGTTGATCGTAATTGCCCAAATGTTTATTTATTTTTTCTTTACTTAACCAGGCATAGTGGTGCCCATTTTTGATACCAGCATTCAGGAGGCAGAAGCAGAAGGATCTCTGTGAGTTTTAGGTTACCCTGGTTTACACAGTGAGTCCCAGGCTAGTCAGGGCTACATGAGTGTGGACACACACACACACACACACACACACACACACACACACACACACAATCTGTCTCTTTCTCTTCTGGTCCCAGGCACTTCAGGAGCTGCAGGTTACCATTCAGACATGGTCAAGACCAAGAACCACACCATACACAACCAATCCTGATTATGGCACAGAAATGGTATCAAGAAACCCAGATCACAAAGATGACACGAATCTCTTAAGGGTGTGGACCCCAAGTTCCTGAGGACCACGTGCTTTGTCAAGAAGCACAAGAAAGGCCTGAAGAAAATGCAGGGAAACAGTGTGAAGGCAATGAGTGCATGTGCAGACGCTGTTAAGCACCCCCCCCCCCAGTGAAACCCAAGGTGGTTGAGCCCAAGCTGCCAAAGGGCCCCAGCCACAAACTCAGCCATCTTGCTTTGTTACCCATCCCAAGCTCGGGAAGTAGATTAGAGCTACATGGCCAAGGGTCACAGACTTTGCTAGCCAAAGCCCATGCTCAGACCAAGGCAGAGGCTGCAGCTCCAGCGTAGACCCAGGCTTCAGCTCCAGTTCAGGCTCCCAAAGGTGCCCAGGCCCCTGTGAAGGTCCCATAGAAAAGGTTTCTAAGTGCCAAGACAGGTGGACTGGTGTGACACACCTACACACTATTTGCAGAGGATCAGTAACGTATGCTGTTTTTACAAATAAACTTGGGGCAAGATCTGTTTTTTTAAAACAATCTTTAAAATATGAAAGTGATTTCTTTTTTTCTCTTTTCCTTATATCTTTTTTCTCAAAATTTGAGACTAGAAATCTCAATATGCATTTCCTAAAAACAAAGAATATTTTTTGAATATTCAAGGGACTTGCCTCAAAATCAACATAGACATACCAACACAGTTAGAGGCACAGGTCACAGTGGAGGGGTTGGGAAACATGACAGGATGGCCTACTGAAGTGTGCCACAGGGTTGGAAGCAAAACTAGAACTCGGGAGGCAGAGCAAGTGGATATCTGTGAGTTTGGGGCCAGCCTGCTCTACATAGAGAGACTTTGTCTCAATAACTAAATAATTAAATTTGTAAAAAGTCCCTCCTGAAGATGTGAATGATGTCTTGAACTAGGGAAAGCAGCTGGTTAAAAGGTACTGGGCCACAAGGCTTGTGGCTTTTTGCAGGTCATTTACAAGTTATGTTTTAATTTATAAATTTTGACATTTTCTTATAAATCCGTTTTGTCCCCCTTTGGTTTTTTACAAAGTACTGGCCTCTCTAGTATAACAGACTGTGTCTTTTCTCACACAGTCTCTACTTCTGTATGTAGCCTACGTGGGCAAGAGTTCCCAGTCTTTCTCTGCCAATAGGATTCTTTCATGTTCACATTTTACTTTCTTTTTCAATTTTTTAAAAAAGATGTATTTACTTTTGTGTGGATGGGTGTTTTGTCCACAAATATGTCGGTGTACTTTTGGGCAGTTCCCAAGGAGGCCAGAAGAGGGGTCAGATCCCTTGGAAGTGGAGTTGCAGACAGTAGATTGTTAGGCACAATGTGGGTGCCCGGAATTGAACCTGGTTATTTCAGTGCAGCAAGTGCTTTTAACCATTGAGCTATCTCTCCAGCACCCTATTTTATTTCGTGTGTGTGTGTATGTGTGTGTGTGTGTGTGTGTGTGTGTGTGTGTGTGTGTGTGTGTGTGTGGTGGTGGTGGTAAGGGGTGTGTGAATAATGGAGATCAGAGGGTAACCTTGTGGAATTGGTTCTTCTTTCCACCTTTAAATGGGCTTGAATTCCAGTGGACTTGCACTGTTGTGGGATATTCACCAGAGAAGACTGCTCAGACATGGGTCTAAGCCAGGATCCCAGTGTAGCCCCAAGTCTTCCTCAGGGTGAACTTTTAAGCACAAAAACCATGTTCTGGATTGACATACTTCAGTTAACCAGAAGTGGAACTATGGAAGCTAAGAAGCAAGATTAGGACATTTAGAGACTTTCCCAGAACTATGGACTTTAATGGACTAGGCCTTTGTTTTAGTTTCGGCAGGTGGTACTCAGTCTATGGGCTGAGTTTTCCAGTCTGAATGGCATTTCCATCATGGAGTCAGTTGTGTTAAGGTCTGGGGGGACTACTTAGGTTTGGGACCCTCTTACAGTATGGCAAGCATTCTACCTACTGAGCCAAATTCCCAGGCCCTCACATGTTCACCCTGATGTTGCTTTCACCAGTTTCTACTCTCCTACCAAAACACAATAGGATGATGTAATCTTTACATCTTTTCAAATTTTACCTGTTGTCTCAGAAATAGCATTTTCAAGACAATTCTGAGGTTCTGGGCTGATGATATAGAACAGTGGTAGAGTGCTTGCCTGTGTGCCCATGGCCCTATATTCTCCACACCAATGCAGAAAAACATAAATAAAAATTTAAAAGCATATATTCTGTAGCTGCAGCTTTGGTAAAAATAATCTTCCAGGAAGATGTATCTATCTATATACTCAGCACATGCAAAAAGAATTGGAGACTTTTCAGGAAAAGGAACTGGAAATCTCTGTCTGGTTGTGTCTGTAGACACCTTCATCACCTAACCAAAGAGATCTCAAATCAAGTTTCACTGTTCCTCGGAATCTGTTATCAGAGCAGATTGTATCTCTTCTGGGCAGGACGCTTGCCTGTGCTTTTTCCTGATTCCTTATTAGGCTAACAGAATTCATGTCAAAAATAATCTGGAAGATGTGTTATCATCTCCTTTGCACACGTAATTTAAAATGCATTTCTATCTCAATTTAAAAGCAAGCAAAGATGAACAGGTTTTCAAGGATGTACTGCAAGTTCCTGCAAGGTGGATACTTCATACCCTGCCCTCTGGCTATGCCCCTGTCATAAAGGAGTAACTAAAGGCCAAAAAAAGGGGTGGTGGTGTTAACAACCTAAATAAATGTCTATCAGGAAGAGCTGGTTAGATACCAAAATACCGGTTCAGTGCAACACAGTGTGGCCATTCAAGAGGAAAAGGGGGAAGGAGAGAGAAGAACAGCACCAGTTACATATGTTCCAAATTAAACTAGGCCTAAGCCACAGAACGTGCTTACAGGAGGAACAGAACTTGGAAACTGCGGTTAAAAGAGAGAGATAATTTTGCAGAGCATCCTTTTGGCCTGTCTGATTTTTTTTTTTTTCAAGCCCATCTGATAAGCACTGTATGTGGGGTGGGAGGTGTCTGCAAACGGAAGACAGACAGAGGCATAGATGGGAAGACAGATACCCAGACCTAACATCTGAACCAAGAGCAGGGTATGTATTTCTGGCTGCACACTTTAGGTTTACCGCCCTCACTCTCTTGTAAAGCCCTAAGAACCGCCTGTGTGTCCCAAGCAAGGATCTTCCTCAGCTGGGCAGAGGAGATACAAAACTGACCTCCTCATTTACACACATCAGAATCACACTGACCCACAGCCTCAAACTCGCGTTCTGCAGGCTCCGAGGTGTGTGCGGGGGAGCTGGAGCGCAGGCGCGTGCAATCTGAGCTGGACCCTTGCCCCTCCTTGCCTGGAACAGACAGCACCTGGCGTCCCCGCACCCCCTCCTGCGTCTGCTGGGACCCAGAGCAGGGCCATGCTCACTGTCTGAGGTTCCGCCCGCTGGCGCCGCCCCGGGGCTGCTCCGTGACGTCAAGGCTGAGCAAGGGGCGCCCCCGCTCGCCGCTCGCCCCCGGGCGCTGCACCCCCCCCCCCCCCCCCCCCCCCCCTTCATAAGAGCCAGGCCTGCGTCCACCGCGCCACAGCCGCTCTGCGGAGGTCGCACCCGCTGAGCTCCTCCTGCGCGCAGCTGGCGATCGGGGCCATGCAGTCCGCCGTGCTCCTCAGCCTCCTGGGCGCTGCAGCTCTGGCCGGTGAGTGGCTTTCAGCACCTCGGACAGCTCCCGGACCTGGGCCCGGAGCCCCGGGCTGGAAGAGATAGATTTCGTTCTCCATCCGGCCTCTTTAATCAAAATTGAGAACACATATTAGTTATTGCCTCACTGAGCTGTGAGTTGGGGAAACGAGAGCCTCCCAGCCTTTTCCTGCTTTCCCTGCAGGGGCTGTGCGGCCCTAGCGAGCAAAGTCGCATTCTGTGTTCTCTGCAGAGATGCCAAGCTCTCTAAGGGGCTAGAGAGAGCCTTGTAGTCTGATTCTATGTGTGACTCTTGACAGCACTGCGGCTGCAGCGGGGTGGGAATGCATGCAGTTGGCACCTGCCGAATTTCCTCTGTTATTATAAAGACGCCGAGTTAGAACTAGATCCGTGTGCATATAATGCATTTTCCTCAGCATGTCATATATGTGTGTGCAGTTTTTCATGCGCATGTGTTTACAGGGTTAACATATTTATGCTTTGTATTTGTGTATCTAGGTAGAGGTAATTCACGTTTAAGTCGATCAGTTTTTAATTTATGAATGGAATCCTCGCTGGACATTTCTTTTGGACTCTAGAAATAAAAATAACAAGACTGTGTAATAACCATAAAAGTACCTCCGGAGTAGTAAACTAATGTTTCGGTCAATTTTCGAGGATGAAAACAGAGGGAGTTAACATTTGATGATGATTTCTGTGTGGAAGATTGTGGTGGTTGAATTTCAAATTACTCTAAATTTACTCAATGATCTCTGATGATTTGAGAGTGTATTTGTGTTGGGATACTGATAAGTAAGTAAGTACAACACCAAATTAAGCTAGCAGCTTTCTTTGGCTCTTTGGCTGCAGAAAAGTGTTTTGTTCTGAGACTGAGATTTCTAACTAGACTTGACTCTATAAATATAAACCTTTGATTGGCAGGAATCACTCGATTCAATGTTTGACAGAATCAAAGCCAAAGGTTATTTTATTGCAGTCACACTGTCCTCAATCTTTAAAAATATTCCTATGAATAACTAATACATGTTCTCAATTTGATTAAAGAAAACAAACTGAATAAATTTAGAATTCTTAAAGTTCAAAGTATTTCAGAAAGGCGTTGCTGAAGAGGTCACAGTGATACTGTACATTGTGCTCTAGATTACAAAACAGTAACATTTTTGTAACTCACTTTACTGTGATGGTTAAACATTTTCATACCTCCTACGGAGGAATAAAAACTCATATTTAATAGTAACTAAAATGGAGTTATGATACCCTCTCATATTTTAGGCTATGATTCACACATTATGCAGCCTATCTCTTTAAAATGTCTGACTCAGTGGTATATAAGCTATCCACAGACTGTAACCATCTCCACTATCAAATTTCAGGACTTGCTCATCACCCCAGAAAGACCCCTGTATCTTAGCAACCACCTCTTCATTTCCTCCTCCCAAAATCTGGCAATGAGAGACTTCAAGTAGTTTGTTATTTAGCAAAATCCTGGTTGGTAGGGAGCCCTCAGTAAGTCATCTAGTTCATTTTCTACCATTAAGAGCTTATAGAAGGAGATCCACGGCTGGCTGGATATGGTGAGTATTGTACACTTTAAAGATTAACATGGATGACCTAACTGTAGGATATCCATATCCATACCATATGCAGAAGGATATTTTTTCGCTATGCAGACCTTGCTTGACTTTCAACCTAGTGGACTTTGGGGGTGCCCACGGTTTACTAGCAGAAGATCACACTTAACCTCTGTAATTTCCATCTGGGATTAAACCTTAATAGTCTTATGGATGTTGACACTTCAGAAGTTATTACCAGACTTATTATGTGATAATTTTTTAACCATTTGATAATTTCACTCTTCCATAAGTGTTAAATTTATTTCTTACTTGCTACAAAAATAAGTTACAACAGGTTAGGGAACTCAATATATCTTTAGTTATTACTTTGCTATCACAGATTCTGTTGGAAGAAATGCATGTCATTTGGGAGTCTCACCAAGGTACACAATATGCCTTCATAAACAAGCCCTAGTTCCTTTCTATTAAGAAGAGTCTGAGGAGCCTCCCTCAGGGAAACAGCGATGGTCTACAATAGTAAGTTGTAGACTGAGAATTGTCTAGGACAATGGGACATCCCTTGACCATCAGATCTGATAGAAGTTGATACTTCAGCTGTAAGAGTAAAGTACTCACTTTACATTGGGGGAAACAACAGACAGAACTATATATGTGGAGCTGCGTTGCTGCAGAAGGTCTGGAAGGCTGAACTTGGAAAGGGTGACTTCTTTGTCACCAGGGGAGCAATTCTTCCATAGATACTTTCCAGAGAATTTCACAGATTTCAGACGAAAAGAGAAAAGCGCCAAAGTGAGTATGTTCTCAAAATAGCAATCATCTGGAGCATAAAAGACCGGCCTGGTGCTGGGGTTGTAGCTCAGCTGGGGAGTGATTGTCAGTCATGTGTGAGGACCTGGCCTCAATCTTCAGCAAGCAAGAAAGAAACGGAAAAACAACACCCAAACCTCCAAAGCCAGGCATATGACCCTGAGGGCCAGCAGTTGGCCAGCCAGGTCTTATCTAACCTGTGTTTGAGGAAGAACTTGGGGTCTTTCTTCATAGCTTATTAGGCACTTTTCAAACAGTTTTAAATGATCCTAATAAGCTAGATAATAGTGGACTGGAGAATTTGATACTTCTAATGGTGTTTACACAATTGTATACAATGTAGGGAAACATTAATATTGAAACAGATGTAGAAGCAAACTGTTTAAGCAAAGGTTTTGAGTGATTAAGGATCTAATATCCATGTGTTTTGGTTGTTGTTGTTGAAGTTGGTTTTTATTTGTTTGTTTTTTGAGATAGTGTCTTTCTACAAAGTCCTTTAAGTTATGTAGATCAAGCTGGCCTCAAGTTCACTCACAGAGATCCTTCTGCCTCTGCCTTTTGAGTGCTGTGATTAAAGGTATGCACCACCATGCCTAGCCTTTAGCAGCTGTGTTTTTATAAGTGAGTTTAGGGGAGATTTTCTTGGAAACAGGAATAGGCAGATGGAGCTATTTGGCGTGGATAAAGGGAAAGGATTGGGGAGGGCACCTGATTCTATTTCAATTAAAAAAATTACAGCACAGAATGTAGAAACTGCACAGAGTATACAGCTTAACAAACTTTTCACAAATATAGGACAACTGTGTAACCAGCACAAGACATAGAAATTGCCAAAACTTAAGAAGCGCTCTCATTTATGGTTTGAATTTGATGCATATAGGCTATAAGGCAGCATTCCTTTCCAAATGTTTAAGACATTGCTGGAGAACAGCTGTGTATGTTTGTGTATTCACACAAGTCTGTACATGTGCACACATGTGTACAAGCGACTAGAAAATGATGATCATGGTCATCATCCCAGCCTCGGTTCTGCTAAGTATTCATTCTGCATCCCCCTCAAAGAAAGCAGGGCGAGTCTGCAAATTTGGCATTGAGCCTCCAAGAAATCAACTCAAGACATTTTCCGTTTTTCTCTTTCAAAGCTGTCGGCTCAGCTCCAGTGGATAACAGGGATCGCAACGAAGAAATGGTAAGTTGAGATGTTGGTCTAGAGTCTAGACGTGAGTGTACACCCTGGAGTGTCTCACTCCCTTTGGCAGCCCCCTCCCCCATGTTGTCATGCAAAGCCCAAGTTTTGTCCCTTAGAGTCCAGGACAAGTGATGCCTCCTCTCCTGTAGGAAGCATATGCAACCTTCCCAGAGGATTTAGTCTTCCTGAAGACAGGTCAATTTCCCTCTAAGCATTAGAAATGGGTCTTCATCTCCCTTCTTTGGGCTATCACCACTCAATATCGACTTGGTAGTGTAGTGCCCTGGGAGGCTTCCTCATGATCCTGTCAGTGTGTGTCCCTGCCCTGAGGATCCTGCATCGGTTCCAGGCACATGCTCAAGCCTCCTGTGACAGGAGCTCCTGACTGAATTGTGTTCTAGTGACACCAGCTTCCCAACCCGCTCTTGTGTTTTCTCGTAGGTGACTCGCTGCATTATTGAAGTCCTCTCAAGTGCCCTGTCCAAGTCCAGTGTTCCAACTGTCACCCCTGAGTGCCGGCAAGTCCTAAAGAAGAGTAAGTGTCCCATACTCCAGAAAGACCTTTGTGTCTGCAGTGAACCTTTTTCCTGCAGCTCTGCGTCACCTGCAAATGCATCCTTGTGGTATAATTCTATAGCTAGTGTTGATTGACTAGACTGGTACCTAGGGAGACAGGGATGTGACTTCTGGTCCCTCAGTAACTGTCTGATGGTGGAGAAGATCCTTTAAAAAATTTTTTTTCCAGGCTTGTTTTTTTTTCAAAGAGGGAATTTAGTTGATTGTAGTCTTTGAGCTGTCCATCGGTTCTTAAATTCTTTGGTTTCATATTTTAAAAAAATTTAAAACAGGTCCTCATTTTGGTGGAGAGGGGTGTGGGAAGAGCTTGCTTGTGGGTAGATGAGGAGGTGACTGAGGAAGTGTTGGACGGTGAGAGGAGGTCAAGATTGGGGAACAGCTCTGAGGCTAGTGGAGCATTTTCTCTGTACTGAAGAGCTTCTGTGGGAAACAAAGTCTAAACAGTGATGTAAGCAGTATCTACTGTTACCAGTTTCTACAAAACTATACAGTCCTTGTCATTCGGGAAGTCAAGCCAACTCAAACAAAGGCTGCTCTTGTGAGCACCTTCCACTGCTTTGGAGATGTTAGTCAAGCTGGAAACAGTGAGTTCTTCTTTGTACCTCTAAGATCTCTCACTCTAAGACAAATACTCTTGTGGTTGCTGCACATGGGGTTTATGCATAAAGTGATAAACAACAACCATGGACAACTGGCTCAGAGAATCTGGGTTAACTCACTCTGCCTCTGAATCATCGAAGTTATAGGGGGGGTCCTGAAACATGAGGACCCCCCATTAAACAGTGAATGGAAGCTTCCCAATCACTCCGGACAAGATACTTATGTCTTTCTCAAGTTTTTTTGTTTTGTTTTGTTTTTTTGGTTTTTTGTTTTTTTGTTTTTTTTGTTTTGTTTTGTTTTGCTTTTTCTGCTTGTATCAGCAACAGTTCTAAGTCACCACAGGAAGCAAACGCTACTTCTTTGGGCCAACCCATTTTAATGCTATCCTTCCCTATCTTCCTTTACCAGATGAAAAGGGAAAGGTCTGTCATAAAAGGTCACCAGATAGCCATGATTACTGGGGGTGGGGGTGGTGGGGTGTTACTGAATGCCAGACTCTCCTTGCCTCCAAAAATCAAGTACTTAGCCCTCGGGCTGTAGTTACAGTAATTCCAGCTTGCCAATTGTGTATCTGTTGATACTGCTCCGGAGAACAAAACAGCTGGTTCCGATCTCTTAACAAAGACATGGAATAGGTAGAGATATAAAGGCTGGGAAGATGGAAGTGCTCCTTCAGGGTTACAGCGTCAAGCATCACTCAGGCTAGACACAAAATCAGGAAGGAGCAGGAAAGACTCAGAGCAGAGAAGAAGCAGCGCAGCACAGGCCCTTCTGAGGATCAGTAGAGCAGCAGCATGGTCCCCTTCTTAGGGGCAGCAGCACAGTACAACGTCGCAGCCTTTCTCGGGAGCGTGTGCAGCTTGGCTTTCAGCCTCTGGGGAAGAGGTACACCCTCTGTTACCGGATTTTGCTACTTAGACCCTGTAAATTTCAAAGGAAGTTAAAAGTTTGAACTTTTCTTTTTGTTTGTGGTGGTGAAGCTTGAGCCCAGGGTCTCACTCAGGCTGCGTAAGCATTTTACCACGGAGTTAAATCCCAAGCTAATTATCTGTCTGTCTGTCTCCCTATTTACTTATATATGTGTCTTACTCTGTAGCTCTTGCCAGCCTGGAAGTCACTATGTAAACAGGAGATTGGCTTCGAACTCACGGAGATCCACCTGCCTCTGTCTCCCAAGTCCTGGGATTAAAGGTGTGCACCACCACATCCTGCTTAAAGCGACATCTGATTTTTTTTGTTTGTTGTTTTTTGTTTTTCGAGACAGGGTTTCTCTGTGTAGCTTTGCGCCTTTCCTGGAACTCGCTTTGGAGACCAGGCTGGCCTCGAACTCACAGAGATCTGCCTGCCTCTGCCTCCTGAGTGCTGGGATTAAAGGTGTGCGCCACCACCATCCGGCAACATCTGATATTTAAATGCTGCCTCTGAAGTGTAGGTCAAAGGGAACCCAGCTCTGAGTCATCCCATCCTGTGCTATTGTAGCTTTCTCTTTCCCGGCCTGCTCTTCTTTCTCCTAAGCCAACGGGCAGACTCACATGTGCAACTGAGTGCAGGAAATGCCCTGTTGGCCTGTGTTCCACCCCAAGCCCAGTCTCCACTCCCGCTCTCCTGCACTCAGTGAATGAATAAGTATTTGGGGAGAAAGGAAGAATTGTGGGTTGGGTTTTTTGTTGCTGTTTGTTTGTTTGTTTTTGGCTTAAAGAGACTTTAGAGAAGTCCAGTTTCTTACCACGTACAAGATTTCTCTGGCCAAGGTTGACCAAGGTTGATCTGGTCAACTTTGCAACAGGATGAGTGAGACATGCTCCCTTTTTAACCTAGAAGCAAGGGTGAGCATCACACTTGGGTGTTACAGAGTGAGGAAGACTTCATCGGCTAATCAGCCCTTCTCCAATCTCACCTGCTGGCCTTAGAGCTAAATTTAGGGCGAAGTGCTCAGCTCCAGGCACAAGCTGCTAGAGGCAGTACACATTTAACTCAAAAAAAGGTAAAAATACTCCTGTTCTTGGCACCTAAGGCACCCCACCCCCTAAATCAGGTAGGAAGAGGAGTGTGTGGCTTCTGTTGTCCTCCAGCAGACTCCGAGAATAACATCAGCATCTGTCTGAGTCAGCTGTGAGTGCTGCAGACAGTATCATAGACCCATCAGCTTAAACAATACCCACTAACTTCTCATAGCTGTAGCAGCTAGTGCACAAGATCAGGGTGCCTGATAAGGTCCCACTTCTTGGCTGCACGGCCTACTGTGTGGAGGGAGGTTGTGTTTCTCATGTGTCCTTTTATTAGGGCCCTGCTCTTATCATGAGGGCTCCACCCTCAGGACCCAAGAACCTTCCAAGGCCTTATCTCCCCAAACTATCATAGCATTGATTAGGATTTCAACACAGGAGTTTGGAAAGGGGGCACAGGAAGTCAAGGCTACCACTCAAAGCCTCCCTACTTTCTTGTGCCTGCCTCATTAGCCCCGGCACTGTATATAATACAGGGCTCTTTGATTTGTTATTTAGCTATCTTAAATTCACTTCATAGCCCAAGCTGGCCTAGAACTCACAATCCTCCTGGCGTCATCACGGGCTTTTACACAGTGCAGGACTGTGACAAATGAACTGGAACTCAAATGTCTGTCTACAGAAGGCCAGAGACATGCCTGCAGCTTTGTAAACATGAGAACATTATTACCATGCCAGGCTGTGCTGTAATAGAGAGGTACGAACGAGCTGGAGTTTCTTGGATATTTTGTAAAATAGATACATTTTGTCCTTTGTACATATCAGTTCAAAATGACCCCTGAGGTCTGCTCCTGCTGTGCTTGTTTGCTGTCTCTTAAGCTCCTACCTATTAACCCAATTAACCCAGTAAGCTCCTGTCTAAAAACAAATAGAAAGGCCCATCAGTGCTGTTCAAAAGAAATATAGTATGAACTACAAATATAATTTCAAATTTTCTAGTGGACACATTAAAAAATTTAAAAAACACAAGTGAAATTAATGCTAACAGCCTATCTAATTTTATCTAATGTATTTTATTCACTTAATATTACCCAAATAATACTTAATATTGCCTTATCTATCAAAACTGTTATTTTAACACATTCGCTGATTTTGTATGAAGTCTCAGGTATCAGGTCTCAGTTTGCTCGAGCCACACCTCAAGTGTTCCACAGCCACAAAGAGCTAGTGGGTCCCATGACGGGTGGTGCAGTGTTGACCCTTAGCTGCCAGTGGTCTTGGCTTTGGGTCTTCTATCTGAACTTGGTGAGACAGGTTGAAACCTAAGCCCTCCCAACTAACAACAAAGACAGTGTGCTCTCCACACCTCTTTTCATAGGGTGTCCTTGGGGAGAATGTAGTAAAGACTTCCTGACATTTGGAAAAGATGGGAGAGAGCAGCAAAATGTCAGTTATGTCTTCTGCTGCTGACTCATGAAACGTGAAGACAGCCCAGTGTATTGTAACTTATCCTCAATGTCAAAGAACGTGTGGACCGGGCGGGACTTGAGTGAAGAAAGAGAGAGGCCCTTTCCATTCTTATCACCGGTTACAGCCATGAATTATTTAATGATGCTGAGAAGGGCATCACTAGGCCATTTTGTTGCTGTATAAACATCATTGATTGCATTTATAGAAACCAAGAGGGCTATGACTCACATGATATGATGATATCATACGATATGATGGTGTGGGACCACTGAGAAATTCACAGTCCATTGTGGGCTGAAATACACAACACATGACTGAACTAGGTGAAGTTGTCATTTCCTTCTGGGTAGGGTGCACACAATTGACTCGATAACAAAGTCTGAGAAATAAATTTTGAATCCTCCTTTGAATCTTAGTATTCCCTATTTTGGCTACTTAATGCTATTTAGTTGGATTATAGTTAGAGCTGTTCATTTACACAATGCTAACTTCTCCACCTTACTCAAATATGGAAAGAATGGTCCTGAATCTTATCACCCCAAGTCTCCATATCTTCTATATCTGCAAAACAAGGAGGCTGAACCAGATGAATTGTAAGAGTTCTTCTGGTTCTAAATTCCAGTCTTTCATAAAGTTACATCTCCATTTCAATTTGATCATTGACAGTTACAAATAGAGATGCTGGGTTAGTGAAAAGTTAAATGTGCAGAGCTCTTAGATTTAAACACAGCCAAAGAGCTTCCATAGCATCAGCTTCTCAAAGAATTGAATATATCCTCTATCATGTAACGATTTCCCAGCGTCCACGGGATTTTTAGTGATCACTGAGGCTGGTACTAGAACCTCAAGCATTTTTACAGTTGTGCTTACTCCTATATTTTCATTATAGGTGGGAAAGAGGTCAAAGGTGAAGAAAAAGGTGAAAATGAGAACACAAAGTTTGAAGTACGATTGCTAAGAGACCCAGCTGATGCCTCCATAGCCCACTGGTCTCCCAGCAGGGAGGAAACAGGAGCTCCAGTAGAAGACCCTCAAGGCCAGACAAAGGTAGACAATGAGAAGCGGACAGAAGGAGGAGAACACAGCCGAGAGGGAGTGGACAAACCCCAGGAGAGCCTCCATCCTTCCAACCAACAAGTGTCCAAAGAAGCAAAGATACGCCATTCGGAAGAGAGTGAGGGAGAGGAAAGGGAGGAAGAAGGCGGCAAGAATTACCCAAAAGGGGAGCACAGGGAAGATGCTGGCGAAGAGAAACACCTTGAAGCTCTGGGAGAGAAACAGAGCACCTTCTCCAACAAAAGAAGCGACACCGTGGCTCAGAAAAAAGAGGAGTCCGTGGCCAAAGCAGATGCACACTCGATGGGGCCCTACGAGAAGACACACAGCAGGGAACAAGGCAGCCGGGAGAGTGGAGAGGAGGCACGGAGGCAGGAGAAACAACCCCAGGAGCTTAGCAACCACGACCAGAGCGAAGAAGAATCCGAGGAAGATGAGGAGGACACGGCCTCTGAACTAGCCAAACGGCGGCCCAGGCACCACCACGGAAGAAGCCGCCCCAAGTCCCCTCAAGAAGGGCATCCTGTATTGGAGGGAAGGAGACGTGCCCCTGAGGAGGAGTCGGAGGAGGCAGATGTGGCCACAGCCAGTTTAGGGGAAAAGAGGGGCCACCATCCAACCCACTACAGGGCGTCAGAGGAAGAACCCGAATATGGGGAAGAAATGAGAAGCTATCCAGGGTTCCAGGCTCCCGAGCGCCTTCACGGACCACAGTATGGGGGCAGGGGAAGTGATGAGGACAGCGCTCCAAGGCCTGAGAGTAAGGAGAGCCAGGAAAAGGAGTACAAGAGAAGCCACTCCAACTCTGAACTTGAAAGCATGGCCAACAGACACAGTGAAGAAACTGAGGAAGAGAGGGTCTATGAGGGGGCAAAGGGACACCAACACAGAGGCAGGGGAGGTGAGCCAGGTGCCTATTCTGGTCTTGACACCAGAGAAGAGAAAAGGCTCCTGGGTAAAGGACATTACCCTGTTCAAGAAGGCCGGATAGATACGGCAAAAAGGTATCCACAAAGCAAATGGCAAGAACAGGAGAAAAACTACCTCAACTATGACGAGGAAGGGGACCAAGGCAAATGGTGGCAACAGGAAGAGCTGCTAGACCCAGAAGGAGGCAGGGAGGAAGTGAGGTTTCCCGACAGGCAGTATGCACCCTATCCCGCCACTGAAAAGAGGAAGAGGTTAGGGATGCTCTTCAACCCCTACTTTGGCCCTCTCCAGTGGAAGCACAGCGATTTTGAGAAAAGAGACAACCCAGACGACAATTTTCTTGAGGGTGAAGGTGAAGATGGAAATGGGTTGACCTTGACTGAGAAGAATTTCTTCCCAGAGTACAACTATGACTGGTTGGAGAAAAGGCCCTTCTCAGAGGATGTGAATTGGGGATATGAGAAGAGAAGCTTTGCCAGGGCCCCTCATCTGGACTTGAAAAGGCAGTATGATGGAGTGGCTGAGCTGGACCAGCTCCTTCACTACCGGAAGAAGTCGGCTGAATTTCCTGACTTCTATGACTCAGAGGAGCAGACGGGGCCTCACCAGGAGGCAGAAGCTGAAAAGGGCGGGTCTGATCAGGGAGTTCTGACCGAGGAAGAGGTACAGTATGAGGCTTTTGCTTAAAATTAGAAGCTGATGATCAAGGTTGTTGTTAGCACCGACACGTCTGATAATGGGAGAGATGGGTGGGAAATTTCACTGTGGGGCTGTGAGTCCCCTGGTCACAGCAGGGGACTGATTTCCAGCCACCACCCAGTGTTTCATGTCTTGCTTAGAGAACTTGGAAAACTACTGTCTGGGATCTATCCCGGAGATTCTGTCTGATGAGTACCAGGTGCTGCCTGGGTGTGCAGGATACCTTAGTGCCTAGGCACCTGGTGCTGACCAGGTGCTTCCCATGCTCATGCTGACCACCCAAGCAGCGCCTTTACCTGATTTGATCTTGTCAGATGGTGCTTCACAAGCTTGAAAGTATATCAGAGCAACAGGGATTCCTGACTCCCCAGACTTTCTCATTTAGTAGTTTTGGATGGGACCCAGGAATCTTCATTCCTGGGCAATTGCTTAGGGTGCCCCATCTACTGATGAGGAGAAACACACTTTGAAGACCCCTGATGTTGGCTGGCTCAGGCAGCCTCTACTCTACCTAAAATTCCCCTTTCTCCTTAGAGCCCCCTGAACTGGAGCACATGAATTGACTTCAGCACTCCCCTTTTCTGTTTCTCAGAAAAAGGAACTGGAGAACTTGGCTGCCATGGATCTGGAGCTGCAGAAGATAGCGGAAAAGGTCAGCCAGCGGGGCTGACCGTCGGAGAGGCAGGCGTTCACTGAACAACGCCATTGACGCATCCAAAGGCAGAAAGCAGAATTTCCTATCTATTAAATGTTTGATGCAGTTGGAAACACCATTTATCTTTGCCAGAATGCTAATGCTATGTGACTAGAGTGACTTGTAGCATATTCTTCCTGCAAAATAGACGTTCACATGCCTGTGACAATGACCATGTTACTGTCTTTGAAACATAAACAATAAAAGATTTACCTGAAACTAAATCCTTCTTGTTTTTTTTTTTTTTTTTTTAGCTCTCTTTGGGTTAGTTAGGAAGAGCACGATTTTGAAATCCATTCTTCTAAGTATATTCTCAAAGATAGCATTAGGATTTGTAGGCCTTTAAGAGTATAACAGAAAAAAAAGCAAAATTTTTGAAGTAAAATATAGCAAGATATAAAGAAAAATATTGAAAATAAAACATAGTTTTCTATCCTGGTAGAGATCAGGCAGGCTTGAAGAACCCATTTTAAAAGAAAATATTTAATTTTTAAAATTGTGTTTGATTTATTCATTGTGTGTCGGGGGGTTGTGATCAGAAGACAACCTTCATGAGTTGGTTCTCTGAGATCAAAATCAGGTCGTCCAGCTTGGTAGTAAGCACCTTTCCTACAGAGTCATTTCACCCACCCAAAACATCACTTTCAAAATTCTGCAAAGGAGAAAAGAGGAGACAGTTCAGTGTAGAGGGCTTGTCTAGCACATATGAGGCTCTGGGTTCCATAATCAGGACTGAAAAAGACTGGCAAAGAGCATGAAGTGAGGCAGTACAAAAGAGAAATGCAGTCGAATCCCCTTATTAGCTCTCTGTGCAGCCTGTGTCTACAGAAAGCTACTTGTGAGGCTGAGGGAAGAGAATAATCCCAGAGCTGAAGGCCAGCCTAAGCAATATATTGAAAACCCATCTCAAGAGAAATACAAATAATTAGACTCCAACAAACTGGAGAGCTTTAGGGGTAGATAGTCAAGGACTGGACTGAAAAGAAAGCCTTGATAATGAACAGAACTCTGGGCTGGGAATATGAACGCCTGGTATAAGCTCCTCCCTCAGGACTTGCCTGATTTCTGCCACATATGCAGAGCCCTGACTCTGTTATTGGATCTGAGCAGCTGTGTGGTTTCTGGTGAGTTGTTTTCCACCTCTAGTTCTCAGGTTCGACACAATAAAGGTATCTTTTCATAGATTATTTCTAACAAGAGTTTCTGCAAAACAGCATGGATCAATGGCATAGTTAATGTTGGTCGCTGCTGCTGTTATCCTTACAGCTTCTTTTTCCAAGATAACCAGACAATCACTTTCACCCTCTTTGACCAACCATCTCATTTCTTACCAACAGTAGCTTTGACTAGGTTATTTTTATTGTTTTCTGTTCAGGTAAAGATCTGTTTTCTGGAAGGTGGTAAAAATGTCTGAGGGTTGTGGGTGATTGTTATAAATGCAGGAAGGCCTGTACTAATTAAGCCAGATTCTTTCCAGATAAACACTGAGTGAATTGAGACTTTATTACACCGGGACCAAGCTGTCTGGTGCTGGTCAAACAGTTCCAAACACAGGCTCACATTTTGGGTAGGTCTCTTACCGTCTCTTTTCTGGGGTCTTCCTTCCTGGCTGTGCGATCATGACTAGCTGCATGCAAGGATGAATAGAACATGCGCAGAGATCATGAATGCTGAAGGCCATCCTCATTCCCTCACTCTCCTTCAAGCCAGAAGTCCTAAAGCAAGGGGTTGGCAGGGTCTGCTTCCTAAGTCTGCAGAGGTGACTCCTTCTTGCCTTTAGCTCCAGTGGCCCCTGATGTTTCTTGGCTGTTGACAGTATCACACGAACTCTGCCTCCTTTTACGTGTAACCTTCTCCTTCCAACTTTCCATCTCTTCACACGGCACAACGGACAAAAAGGACACCAGTCACTGTGTATCGAAGGCCTGTCTGACTTCAAGATGACCTCATCTTAACCATAAGAACCTTCTGGCCAAATAACATCCCATTTTGGGGTCCTGGGGGTTGGGGCACTAGCGTATCTCTTTCTGAGCACACAATTCAAACCATGATAAGACAAGTCAGAAAAACAAAACAAGACCAGTCAGCTCTCACCTTCCTGGAGTAGTTCACTCTATGGCACCTTCTATTCTGCCTTCCAGAATGTCTCAGCAGCAACCTGCTTGGTAATGCATCCTTTGTTGGCTGCCTTTCCCACTCCAGTCCAGGACCTACTGGTAAACTTGGAGGTATTTCCTGGAGTCATTTTCTGTATTAACTGTCTATCCTCACATTCTAATGTTAGAATTTGCTTCTGGTGATCTATGACCTAAGAAACAATCCACAGTCAAGGATCATATCGTAAAAAAATGAATTGGAATAGATCAGATATGTCTCATACAGCCTAGTGTAATAGCCTAGGAAAGGCTGAGCACACAGACTGTGCTGGATAGTCCTTGCTGTTTACTTGACTGGAGTTGGTAAAACTAGATGTTTCAGGCATACCTCTGGGCAGACTGTTAGTGTTTCCAGAGGATTAGCTGAGAGGGGAAGACCTACCCTAAATGTGGGTGACCTGGTCCCTGACAGGCTGGGAGGAGGGGCTTAGATGAAATGAACTGTGACAAAAAGGAGGAGCTGGCTCAGTGCCAGCATTCCTTTCTTCTTTCTGGACTACTGTGATGTGACTGTGCTTTCTCTCTCTCTCTCTCTCTCTCTCTCTCTCTTTTACAGGAATATTTATTTTGTTTTTAACTATGGGTATGCATATTTGTGTCTGGGCACGTATGCATATATGTATATAAGTGGCCAAGGAGGCCAGAAGAGAAAGTCAGATCCCCTGGAGCTGGAGTTACAGGTGGTTATGAGCAGTACAATATGGATGCTGGGAACTGAATTTGGGTCTGCTAGAAGAGCAGTATGTGTTCTTAACCACTGAGACATCACTCCAAACACTTTCTGCCCCTCTTTTTGAAACAGTCTTACTATGTAACCCAGACTGGTCTTGAACTCACTATTCACCTGCCTCAGCCTCCAGAATACTGGGATCACAGACATGTACCACAAGGCCTGGCTCAAACTCCTCCCTACTTAAAAGGACAGGTATTACATGGTATCCTGGATGATAGCGGCACTATCCAACACCTGTATCCAACTGTGGGTGTGAGCCTGCCCTAGTAACTCACTTAAACTTAGTTGCATTTCCAAGCAGTTCCCATCCACAGGCTCTTTCAAGATTGTTTGTTTCTATCATGAACAAATATAACCCTTAGGTGCTTAACAACATTGCTATTCACAGTAGACCATGTATATGACAGTGGTCCTATAGGTTTTGATGAAGTGGAAAAAATATTGTTGATAATAACATTTATGCTATTTACTTTTATCTGTCATGGGTTCTCTTTCTGGGGTGAGTAGACCTGTGTGTGTGTGTGTGTGTGTGAGTGTGTGTGTGTGTGTGTGTGTGTGTGTGTGTGTGTGTGTGTGTTGTGTCTCTCCAAGAAAAGTCTTTCACATAGACAAGTAGACCTACCTACACACACCCACATACACACATACAATACTTCTACAAATACATACAAATATAAAGCAATAGCTACAGGCAGCCATAGCTGCAGAAGTATTTGGGAGAAAGGAGGTGGTGCTGAAACCTTTTTCTTGTTATATTAGATTTCCAGGTCTTCCTTAACAAAACACTGTAAGCCGAGAAGAATTAAACAACAGAAATTACTTCGCCAGATGTGTGTGTGTGTGTGTGTGTGTGTGTGTGTGTGTGTGGTTTTACTTTCTTCCTCTAAACACTTACAAATGTAAAAGCCATTTTTAGCTTACAGGCTGCATTAGTTACAACTTCTCTATTGCTGTGAAAAAACACCCCGACCAAGGCGACTTATAGAAGAAAGGGGTTATTTGAGTTTGTGGTTCCATCACCATCACAGTGGGGGAACATGTAGCAGGCAGGCATGGTGAGTAGAGCTGAGAGCTGAGAGCTCACATCTCGAACCACAATCAGGAAACAGTGAGGGCAGGCTGGGGATGACAGGGTCGGGCAAGCTGAAGTTTAAAAGCCCACCCTCATTGACACACTTCCTCCAGCAATTCTAAGCTTCCCCAAATAGCATCACTAACTGAGGACCAAGCATTCAAATATATGAGAATATGGGGCATCTAATTCAAATCACTATACGAAAAACTAGCAGTGGTCCACATTTGGCTTGTGGGCTTTAGTTTGCTGACAATTGATTTATATCCGTCATATTCTTTTCATATTATATATAAGTATGTCTTACTTTGTGTCACTCAAAGGGGATAGAAAAGGACTTTGTGAAGCCACTTTACCCCCTGCCTTAGTTAGGGTGTCTATCACTGTGATAAACACCACGACAAAAGCAACTTGAGGAAGAAAGGGTTTATTTCAGCTTACAGCTTCTAGCCCATCAACCATGGAATCTCCAAGATTCTCCTATGAATATCAACATCACGATATAAAACATTCCAACTTTTAAAAATCCCACAGTATTTAAAATTCAAACACCTTAAAATGTCAGTCTCTTAAAATATCCAAAGACTCTTAAAAATTCTGAAGTCTCTCTAAAATTCCAAAGTCTCTAACTGTGGGCTCCTGTAAAACAAAATAAGTTAAATATTGTCATTTTTCAAGAGGAGATAACCAGGGAACAGTCACAATCAAATCAAAGCAAAACCAAAATCCACCAGTGTAAAAAGCTCAGTATCAGACATCTGGGATTCACTCACAATCTTCTATGCTGCAAAGGGCTCCATTTCTCCAGTTCTGCCTTTGTTAGCAAACACAGCTTTTCTCCCAGGCTCAGGCTGGCTCAACCCCACAGCTGCTATTATCCTTGGTGATTGTCCCATGGTACTGGCATCTCCAAAATGCTGAGGTCGTTGCAACTGGGCTACACCTTTACCAATACCCTGTTCTGGGCTCTCTTCAAGGACTCTAACACCATCACATGGTACCAAGCCTCAGATTCTTTCATGATCACTTCAGTCCTAGGACTACACTTTCACCTCTCCTGGGCTCTGTTCAGGCACTCCAGTCCCACCATATAGTGCCAAGCCTCAGTCTCCACAACCCCTTCAAGCCCTCAAAACCAATACCATCTAGCTGACTCCTACTTTTTACCAAGTTTGGCTGCCAGCATAAGATGCAGACTTGACCCTCTCTGAACCATAGCCTCTGTGTGCTGACCTGAGGAAATACTCCCAGATATACGATCCC